TCATAAGGACCCCTTGGGGATGACTCTCACAACCATAGCTCTGTGCTTCTCTATACTCACAGCTGTGGTTCTTGGACTCTTTGTGAAGCACAGAGACACTCCAATAGTCAAGGCTAATAATAGGACCCTTAGTTATACATTGCTTATCACACTCACTGTCTGTTTCCTCTGTGCCTTGCTCTTCATTGGCCGTCCCAACACCACAGCCTGTATCTTACAGCAGATCACATTTGGAGGTGCTTTCACTGTGGCTCTTGCCACTGTGTTGGCCAAAGCTATGACTGTGGTTATTGCCTTCAAAGTCACTTTTCCAGGAAGAGTGGTGAGGTGGTTAATAATACCAAAGGCTCCAAACTTCATCATCCCCATATGTACTCTGATCCACCTTGTCCTCTGTGGAATCTGGCTAGGGACTTCTCCTCCCTTCCTTGACCAAGATTATCATGCTGAACATGAAAATATCATCATCATATGCAACAAGGGCTCATCTTTTGCCTTCCATGAAATCCTGGGTTACCTCTGCTTCTTGGCACTTGGGAGCTTTACTATGGCATTCATGTCCTGGAATCTGCCCGACACATTCAATGAAGCCAAGTACCTGTCATTCAGCATGCTGGTGTTCTTCTGTGTCTGGCTCACATTCCTCCCTATCTACCACAGCACCAAGGGGAAGGTCATGGTGGCTATGGAAGTCTTCTCCATCTTGGCTTCTAGTGCAGCCTTGTTTGGCTTCATTTTTGCCCCAAAGTGCTATATTATCTTAATAAGGCCAGATAAGAATTCACTTCATCATATCAGGAACAGGCCACATTCTAGAAGGAATACCTTTCTCAAAACCTAGTTCAAACCTAAACATACTTCTTATTTTAAGAGATGAATTGCAAAGATGAAGACCAGTTGATATCTATTGCAAATGTGTTATGCAATAATAGTATGGGTTTGATTCTTTGGGCTGTTCTTTGTTCATCCAATTGTATTAGAGCCTCTTTATACTGGAGCCATTGAAATTTTCCATGCTTAAAATCCAGGTTATATTTTGATATGAGCAGAACCTCATTATGTATCTGGCCTTTTCTGAGACATTCTGCGAAGACCATGATATTTTGAATTAATGGAGATCTTCCTATCTCTCTCCCTACTCTTCTGGGATTAAGGATTTCCAGCCCCACACCTGACTCATAATGAAAATTTATACTCTTCCTTAAAATAGACATTTAATATTCATGTTACTGATTTAAATTTCTCAAGAGCTCCATGTATATTCTCTTTTCCTCTTGTATGAATCACATATCTTGAATTTGGAAAGTGGACCCTTGTAAAATTTCAGCAGGTCATTCAATCACTGTGGTAAAATATGTAGAT